AGGACAAATTAATTACGGAATACCATACAAATAATAACCACCGTGGTATAAATGAAACCTTAAATCATCTGAAACGAACATATTTCTTCCCATTCATGAAAACCAAAATCACTCAAACTATCAATAATTGTGACATATGGAAAACATTAAAATACGATAGGCAAACCTTGAAATTGAAGTTTTAAAAACCTGAAATCCCTTCTAAACCTTTAGATATAATACACACGGACGTATATACAATAAACAATAAATCCAACCTAACTTTAATCGACAAATTTTCGAAGTTTGCAGTCGCTTACCCCTTAGAAACCAGAAATAGCCTCAATATAGTAAGGTCGTTTAAGCATTTTATAAGTCTCCACGGCATCCTGTCCAAAATAGTGTGCGATCAAGGCGCAGTATTCACGGCAAATCTGTTCAAAGACTTCTGTAAGCAATTTAATATAGAAATTCACTACACATCCTTCCAACAGTCCAGCAGTAACTCTCCTGTTGAAAAACTTCATTCGAGCTTAACCGAAATCTGTCGTATAATACTTCACAAATTTAAATTCGCCAAAATCCCACATGACCATGAGGATATCTTGACGGAAACATTAATAACATATAATAATGCTATACATAGTTCTACAAAACTGACCCCATACGAAGTCTTCTACGGTCGAACTTCAAAATTTAACAATAATGTTCAATTTAATAACGAACATGACTACCTTAAGAAATTAAATCAATTCCAACAAGAATTTTACCCGTCCATTAAAGCTTATATGGACCATATTTCAAATAAAAATATAGAGAAATTAAACTCAAATAGAGAAGAACCCACAGAAATCATGGAAAATGAAACTGTATTTAGGAAAGAAAATAGACGTAATAAGACAACCCCTAGATTTAGTAAACGTAAAATTAAGGAAAATAACAAAGTAACCGTACTAACTAATACTATTAGTTATTACGGTTACTTTGTTATTTTACCAAAAACTACACAAATCTAAACTAAGAAAAAAACTAAAATTTCAGAATACTGCCAGCAACGGTAGCCCAAAGGCTGGAAATTCTCAATCTAACCAAGAATAATGGTATCTTGCCCATGCAACTAGGATCAGACAAGATTATACAAAAATATATTAACTACCTCCACATAATAGAATTAAGTAAATATGAACGAAATATAAACATGTTAGAAGAATCAATAAACACTTTTAATGCGGCAAACTTAGCCGTCCCATCTCTCAACATTACAATAGTAAAATTCCAAGAGTTAAAGAATAAATTCCAATCTTTAATGCCAGGTTTTAGAACGAAAAGAGGCCTCATAAATGGGTTAGGTTAACTAGTTAAAAGCATCACCGGTAATATGGATGCAAACGATGCGGTAAAACTAAACGAAGAAATCGAAGAATTAACTAAACACGAAAATTATATTAACAAAAACCAACAAATTCAAAACTCTATAAATAATAAAATGATAGAAAGATTAGAAAACATAACCAACCATATTAATAACGAACAAAACGTGATCATGGAGTATCTTAATAAATTTCAAGATAAACTGAAAAACAGTATCAGATCTAACGAAGTGAAATTCCAATACATACAATGTCTAAACCAAATTAATTTCAATATAGAATTGCTTTATTCACACTTAAAGGATATAGCAGAAGCCGTTATCCTTGCTAAATTAAATTTAATTTCAAAACAAATTTTGAACCCTTCGGAAATTTTAGAAATTCGGAATATTTTCTTAACACAAGATGTATCTTTAAACTCAGAGAAAGCTCATATTATTGGAACTTCAAGCTTATTACAATGGCTCCAATATAATATTTAACATACAAATACCTATAATATCCAAAGAATCCTATTCCTTATTTCATTTAATTCCGTTACCAATCCACAAACACAAAACAATAATCACAATTCAATACATTGCTATTAATGATGATAACATTATATATCTTAATGCTAAATGCCCATACATAGAAAATTATTATTTTTGCAAAAACACTAATTACAAAGAAAAGGTCACAAAATCAAAATGGATCGGAAATCTTCTGACTAATAAACCTGCCAAGTGCGAATTACATAACCGTGACATAGAAATGGAAATTTTACAACCAGAGCCAAACTACAAATAGAAATTTTACAACCAGAGCCGGAAACAACAATCAACACAACATGCCTCCCAAACTACATTAAGATCAAAGATACCGTTCTTATTCATAACTGCGAAATCAGCATACACAGCATAACATACACAACGATAAAACACAGTCACTGGGATGAAATTATAATTCATCCTGCAATATTCAACCATTTAAACATTACTTTCACAAATAGCACCACAGCCTTCAAAAACTAGATAATTATCAATTCACGAAAACAGAACCGACATATCAATTGGAACTTTACGAAAACCAGAATAATCTTTATTCAACCTTCTACACATCAATCACACTACGCATAATAACCCTTGCTCTACTGTTCATATTTATGGGAACATATATATACCGCTATCGAAGAATATACCTTCTCAGCAACACATCTTCAATCAACAATGCCGTTCGAGTTCAGCCATCGAATCTAAGAAACCTCAATTCATCTGGCCGTAACTTCACACCAAGGGGGGAGGAGTTACGTTACACTATACAATATAGAATATAGAATATATAAAATACCTAATTACCTTAAAACTTTATATTCATATTCAATTTTACAAATAATTCACACACATTTTCATTACTAAGCAAATAAATGTAAAACGCACATGTTCTAACCACATGTTATTAGCCATATGCTTTAAACTTTCCCACAGATTTAAGTAATTTTTATTAATATCAAATTTCATTAAAATAAATGTTTGTTAAAATTGTTTTTAAACAAAATGTAAAATCAGCATAAAAGATTTATAAATACTCTGGAAATTATTATGTAGAATATAAGAAATATAAGAAATTGTAATCATAACGATACAATAAAATTTTATCTGTAAATATAAAATTCTTTTTTTTTCCTACCTGCGTTAGTACGTTACGTATTTCGTGCACACACAGACCGACAGGTTGCTAAAAATAGTTTACTTACACTTCCCTACTATGGAGAAGTGCATTCCCACCGAAAACTCGATGTGCAAAATTTGTTGCCATCACATCACCTACCTATTGTTTACACAATACTGTCGGTAATAATGATAATGAAAAACAAATTACGTTTTCAGACACTAATATAATAAATAAAAATGTACTGGAAACTAAAATACCAGATGTAAAGTTATCTAATATTAAAAGATCTACTCGAATAAGAAGAGTACCAAACCGCTTAGATTTATAAAAACAAAAAAGAAATATGATTACAATATGTGAAAAATTATAATTACACTTACATAAGTTAAAAAGAAAATGTATTGCTTAGATATTTGATTAATGTACTCAAAAAAAATATAGTATAATTACTTGAACTGTCTTCCGAATTAAGGTGGGGAGAACTGTCATAAATTGCATAAAAATGTAAATTTGCCTTATTATGTTAGTTGTGCTTGACTGATTTAATGCTCATGTTGTTTTGACAATTTGTCAGTCAGTCACTTTTTGTATGTAAGATAAACTGAATAAAGTAAAAAATTCCATTTTGAATATGTAACAGAACTTATAAAACAAACAATTTTAAATTATAAAAAAACTAAAATTAAGAGAATGAAGAATTTATGCTTATAATTTTTTCCAACGTACTAAATTAAAAACACCCATATAAAAATATAAAATAAAACAGGTAACTTTTCAAGTCTAAAATAAAAATGCAATACGAGTATAAACTCTGTATTTGTACATTATGTTTGTTAGTGCAAGTTAAAGTGACTTTGCTTATAAATCTGTTATAAGCAAAATTTGTGTTTCAATTCGAGAATTTGATTATAAGAAAAACCGGATATAACTAATGATAATTTGTGTATGTATGTATTATGTAGTTTTATTTCGTCAGAAAAACATTTTTTTCCACATCCACCCCCTCTTAAGTTATCGCCTCTTGAAATTTGTAAAATTCGAATTTTTGGCATATTATGTTTCAGAAACTGTAAATTTTTCCAAGTTTTTATAAATGCAAAAAGCTAAAGGTAAACTCCATGCCATTAAAAAATATAATTATTTTTCTTAACTCACATTAAACCAATTCACCCTTAAAATTGAGCATTATGTTAAAGCCTCTTTAATTTGTTTTTACTTTATTTTAAAGACTGCATAAATCGTTCATCCTAAATACATGCAATCCTTGAAATAGTTTCGTGTATGAATGAAAGTAATTTTAATAGTGTAGTAGGTATACATAGATTGTTTTTACAAGCATTGTTTTCACTTATTGAAGGGAAAAGTGCTACGATACAAACTATTGGTTTGACCCAACTTTATTTACTATACAATATGAACCAAATACATCTTTTACAAATTCCATCTTGTAAAATTTTATACGTAGATCAAAACTTTATGTTGAACAAAAAATTGTTAGTTTTTATATAAAAAATGTCCAATATATGTATAGGGTATTTTGATGTAGTTTCGTATTTTGATTTTTATGTACAGTGTTTGCTGGAACCAAAATGTATTTGCATTATATTTTCTCATGAATAAGTCTCACAAGCTCATGTTTGTTAAAGGAATATCCTTTTTCAGTACCTTTGAAATAAATAATTTAACTTGAAACTAAAATTACTGGCATAAATGATTTATAAAAGGTTGAACAACCAGCATTTTTTAAAGTTCACTTTTTTAAAAGTAGCACCAACAATTAGGACTATCGAATGAACAGTTTATCTGCTGCACCTAGACTCTTTTTTAAAAAAAAGACTGCAGCTTAAGACTTCCTCAACAGTCTTCTATTGTTATTGAACTTCATAGCATTCATAGTATCCGACATGTATTATAAGAAAGCTATTATGTTATAGATTTTAAAACGCTTGATAAAAAACATGTAATGCTAATGTTGTAAATACTTTTTCATTTGTATAGCAAATCATCATCCGCACTCAGGACAACATCACTCAGTTGTAGCTGCTGCCGTAGCTGTGGCGAGTTTGCATCCTGATAATGACACGGATCCAAGAGAATTGGAAGCATTTGCAGAGAGATTTAAGCAGCGTAGAATCAAATTAGGTAAGGAACTGAAACCTTGCTTTTTTTTCAAAATATGTACCAAATTTAAGCGTTCAAATAGTTGCCTTTTGAAGTATTTTTTCCTAATTTTTTTAAAAATTATTTGTTTGTTTGGTCTGAAAACCTAAACAAAGTGATAGTTCTGTCGGATCCAAAATACTATAAAGCTTCTATAATTGGTCATGGTTTCACCTATAATACCCGTTGTCTAGCTTTGGGTTACAGCGCTTCAGTTTACAGCAATAAAATCAAAAATGCTGGATGAAGATTAAACGCAAAAATGAACCTAAATATGATATGCGATATAGTTCGTCAATCACATTAGACGTACTTCCTTTAATAACATGTATTTGATAATAATATAACAAGTTATAATTGCTCCGGGTCCAACAATACCTTGAGCTTCAGAGGTTGGTGAATTTTTGAGTTTACGTTAAACTCAGGAACGTCTAAAGAGAAGAAAATCAGCTTTGATAAAGTGCGTATGTAGCGCACGAAATATATTAGCGAAAAATAAAAAAGTATTTTATTCCGAATAAAAGGAAGTTTTCTTTTCATACCAATAATAAAAACAATAAGGTTGGGTCAAACCAATGGTTTGTATTGTAGCACTTTTCCCTTCAACAAGTGAAAATACTGCTTTTAAAAACAGTCTATGTATATCCACCACACTATTAAAATTATTTTCATTTATAAACGAAACTATTTCTAGCATTGCATATATTTAGGATGAACCATTTATGCAGTCTTTGAAATAAAGCAAAAATTAATATAAACAGGGGTTAACATAATGCTCGATTTTAAGGGTTAATTGCGTGAGTTAAGAAAAATAATTATATTTTTTAATGTCGTGGAATTTACCGTTAAATTTTTGCGTTTATAGAAATTTGAAAAAGCTTGCGGTTTCAGAAATATAAGGTGTCAAAAATGCAAATTTTACAAATTTCAAGAGGCCATAACTTGAGAGGGGGTGGAGATGGAAAAAAATTTTCTTCTAAAGAAATGAACTACTTGTTAATGTCTAAAAGCTCCTAAAATTTTAAGCTTCTACAGGCTGGGGTCTAGAAGAAAAACGACATCAAAAATTTGGAAAAAAAGGATTGTAGATAACGGTAAATTTGAACGGCCATTTTGTTTTTCTAAAGTTTAACTATAGTATACCGCGGTAGGGGAAGCACGCCACTGCCTTTCTGCGTTTGCAAAATTTCAAAAATGCTTATGGTTTCATTGCAACAAATATTTAAAATAGGCCATTTTTAGTGCTTTGGGGGGGTATAACTTCTGGAGGGGGGGAGATAGGTAAAAATTTTGTTCTACAAAAATAAGTTTCTAGTAAAGATCTATGTACATATTAAATTTCAGCTTTCTATCTTTAAGAATGTAGAAGTTTTGTAAACAGACACACGGACAGACGGACGGACGGACGGACGGACAGACGGACGGACAGAGTGAAACTAATAAAGGATTATATTTCGGAAAAATTATCAACCATTGAAAAAAATTTTTTAAACGTCTAAACCCTTAACTTAAGTTCTTCGAGATATTTTTTATAATTTTAAGTATTTCAAAAAAATTTCTGTGAAATATACAAAGCTGTCCGAAATATAGAAAAACAAATAGTAAAGCTTCAAAAAATAAACCTCTAAAGTTCCTGATAACACGAGTTACCTACTCTGAAAAAAACTTATTTAAATACTGCTCGGTATCGAAAAGAATGGGGATTTCTATTATAAGATATTTTCTCCTTTTTGTAGAAATTTCTCTATTACATATTAGACTCAGGTTTTAGCAAGCTTTACAGTTATTGGATCTCGATAAAGCTCTACGCTACTTATCTTCGTCCCCAATTTATAGTATCTTATAAAGTTACGAAAATGAAACTAAAAATGCCATTATTTCTGGAACCGACGAAATGTTCTTCACATTGCTTTATACTGTAATCGCCTAGAAAGTGGTAGGTCACTGGTCCGAGTCCAGTTCGAGGAGAAAAATTTTTTAATTTTTCTGCCTTTAACTCGTTCCTTTGATTACGTCATCCATCTGTTCTACAGTTGTAGTAATAGGCACAATACTTATTAATTAAACAACTGAAACTAATAGGTTGTATTAGTAAATCGGCCTACCTTACTCTTTTTCCACTATAGTATTGATGCCGGAAAAACTATCAAACCTCCTAAGTAGCAATTTTCAAGAGTAATACCCCCAAAAAAATTGACCAAAAACTCTCATACCACACTTGAATACTCTCATAATTTTTTTTTCTTTTTTTTGTTTTTATGCAACTCTCGTAAAGCTTTTACAATACAAACTTAGCACTTGTAGTGTTAAAAACTCTGCTATTATCATAGCAGAACTACTTTCCGTAAGCCTTAAAAAAATTTAATTCTCATAAAGTATTTTTTATAAGATGTCAATTCTTAAAATTTTGTTATTAAGAATTCCTTTGTAAGCAAATGTCAGAACATGACAAATAAAATACACAAAAGTGACATAAAAAATATTTTTATAAATTATACACTGCTTTAAGCAATCAGTTCAATTTAAAGTATCATCAGTTATCATAGAGTTAAAGAGCACGCATCATAGAGTTAAAAGCATCATCAAATTTCAAAAAACCTGATGTAAATGTTATAAAAGGTTCTAATTGTTAACAATCAGACATAATCATACCTGACGATTCTACAAATTTACAGCAAAATAACCTTTTAGAGTCGATAATTATCACTACCAACTTTATTTTATGTATTACAAATGGAAACGAATAATGATATACCTGTAAACATCATTCGTTTAGGGATCCATTATTCTCATAAAAGGAATTTAATTCTCATAAGTCTAGCTGTTAGGTAAAGCCATTTTAGTATTGTCATTTTTGCTTATCTAAATTTTAACCCTAAAGAGACTGAGAATTCTTTTTTTGGAAAGAAGTCGGAAAAATATTTATTGTACAGAAATTATTAAATTAAAATTAATGACATGGAAAATTATTGTTTTACTTGAATATAGTAAAGCTTTAGTTGGAATTTATGCACATTAGTATATTTATTTTTTGCTTAATATTTCTTAAATTTCAAAATTTATGTAAAAAAAAATCTGGTGTGGTCAGCACATTGTAAATTTGGCTCTTAGTAGAGTTTCGCTTTGTGCTACCCGAATTAGCTGAAATGATCGCCAGTTAGTTTCGGTAAGAACCAGAACTCAACTATCAAATTTCAAGAAAGTCCATCAATTCCTTCCGTGGATTTGGTGAAAAATGTAAAATCGGCCCGCAGATCAGTTCTCGAGCCCTGATCTTTCAAAAAAATTTATATGTTCATTGTTTTAATGCGAAGAATTTAAATATTAAATTTCAATGAAATTGTTCGGTTACTTCTATATAAAGATATTCGCATATAAAGATACGCAAAAATGTATATTTTGCCCGTAGTAAACGTCCAGCTGCTGCCACCTGATTTCTTCCAAAAGGTAGGAGGTTTCGCGGAGCTGAGCTTATATATGAAATTTCAATTAAATCGGTTGAATATATGTTCAAAATATATGTTTCTTCAGGCCTGATATATCCCAAAAGTTGATCAATCCGTGCCATGGTCGAAATAAACTTACATATAAAATTTCATCAAAATCGGTTCAGCAGAACTTGAGACACACGCGTGCACACACAGACCGACAGACCGACAGACCGACAGACCGACGACCGACAGACCAACAGACCGACAGACCGACAGGCTGACAGACCGATAGACCAACAGGTTGTTAAAAATAGTTTACTTACACTTCCCTACTATGGAGAAGTGCATCCCCACCGAAAACTCGATAATCAAAATTTGTTGCCATCATATAACCTACCTATTATACCGACCGTATACACAATACGGTCGCTAAAAAAGAATAAAATATTATAGAGTTAAAAAATATGTATAAAAATTTAAATTTTAATTATTTTTAGTTAGCGTTGCTTTTTTTCGAAGCACAATACCAATTTTTATCAATAAAATTTTAATGCCAGCAATTTTGTGATTTATAATCATGGCATAGAAATTAAAATTATTTTAATTTTTATTTACACATTTATAAATATTTTTTGAATACAAATATTTATTGATTACATTATCATATACGTCAACATATGTATATTTTGTTTCATTTTTGTTAAAAAAAATGATTATTAAAAGCGGAATAGATATGTTTTTTATTAAGTTTGAAGTAAGACCGATATATTTATTCCACAATGCATTGCTTTCTCTTTCTAATAACACTATTATAAATGGCTTGTGAGAGTTTTCGTAACTCTCATACTAGTTTTGGTATGAAAATTATATGCTTTAAAAACTCTTTTAATGGGAGCTTAACTCTCATTTCTAAAATTAATAACTCTAGTAATTGCACTCTTTTGTGCTTATAACGATCTCACTAGGGTCTTTTAGTGTTGTACAAGACTGAAATTATAAGAATAATATTCTTTAAGAACTCCCAAGATAGCTCTTGCAGAGTCTTGTGAGATAAAAATTGTTACTTGGGCTAGGTGCAATCCAACATGATTTTATTGGTGCATTCCATATTTTAATGGAAAAATCGAAAAATTATTTTCACACAATTTTGGTTTTTAAAAATTATAAACAATTCGTTTTGCGCATATTTAGAAAAATGTCAAACGAAATCTTTTAACAGAAGAGAAAACGCAAACAGTACTATTTTATTTTGAAGTGGTAATATGTATTCAGATTTTAAAAACTTTCATTTAATACTTTAAACATCTTTAAAAGATGTGTTCATTATGATATAAAATATCTTTTACATATTGAAAGTCTGATACCTAAAAATTTATGAAAAGTGAAGAATATTCCAAGAACTCTGTCGGGAAAGTGACAATTTCGATTTTATTAATTTATTATTAAATAGATATTACTGAATTTATAAAAGTTTGGTATTTAGTTTCGCATTTAGCGCGACCATTTTTTTAGTTATTCTTTTTTCCAACATTTTGTTAATAACCAGTTAAA